AGAGAAAACACATGAGCTCTGGGAGCTAGATACGAATCAGTAGCGTGGCTCAGGGAGCCGGGTTTATACGAGAGAAAACACATGAGCTCTGGGAGTTAGATACGAATTAGCGTGTGGCTCAGGGAGCCGAGTTTATACGCGAGAAAACGTGAGCTCTGGGAGCTAGATACGAATTAGCAGCGTGGCTCAGGGAGCCGAGTTTATACGCGAGAAAANAGGGAGCCGAGTTTATACGCGAGAAAACGTGAGCTCTGGGAGCTAGATACGAATTAGCAGCGTGGCTCAGGGAGCCGAGTTTATACGCGAGAAAAGACGTAAACTCTGAGAGTTAGATGCGAATTAATAACGTGGCTCGGGAAGCCGAGTAAAGAAGGTAATGAATATGAACCCGGGCACATACGTGGTCTAATTCTCCAAAGTTTTAAAATTTCATTTACGTTCTCGATAGGCGATACTCCCATTTCTATAGTTGATTTTAAGCGCTTTAGGGTTCCCTTTGATTACAACTTTATTGTGCCGTTTCTATCTCGTATTCACTTTCTATGTCTGACCAATATAGTATGGTATATACTAATTTCGGTAGTCTACACGGTGTATAAAATGCAAATGCCTTTCCACATTTTGGCGCATATTTTCACAATACACTTAATTGCGGGCCTGTTATAACACACCTTTCTTTGTCCGATTCCTTTTAAATTTTGTCTTTGTTTTCGAGGGTCTCTTATTAATAGAATTGATCGCAACACGTTGATCTTTGTTTAGGACTTTATATAGCGACGGTTATTCATTTCCTTTTTCTTTTCTCCCGTTTGCCTTTGTTTGGCCACTTAGCCCGAGCAACAAGACAGGATGGCGGAATTAGAGAGGAAGCTTCAGGCTCTCGAAGCGAGACAGCAAGAAGAATCCGTCGCCCCTGCCCTGCAGTGATTAATCACTGAAATTGAAATAAATTTGTTTGTTGAATGGTTGGATCTCTAGTGTCTCGCGCTTTATTCTCGCGCTTTATTCTCGCTCCTGGTTGACTCTAGGGGGGCCTTCTCATAGCCTCAATTCTGGTCTTACGATCGGAGCCTGGGGTCAACGAGGGGCTGGGGGGTCCTCATACCCAGTTTTAAAACGCGCTTCGTTTTCTCTTTTTTCAGAGCGTATTTGAGTCTCTCCTCTCCCGCCTTCTTCAGACCACGGAAACCTTTGAAAGAAAATACTGTAATGTGTTTGGGGAACCCCGACCTTTCGTTGGCCCCTTGGTCCCCCCGGAGTTGATCGTAGCCAGCCCCGCCTTAGCCGATATGAAAACGTTGCGTTTTCGAGAACCAGATAATTTCCAAGCTGGCAGTTTACACGCACACGCCCAGTTCTGTAGATACGCGGCAGTTGCAGTTGTTGCGGTCGGTATCCCGGTATTGCAGTTATGTCTGACAGGTTAGCCAGGTTTATTCCACGGGGCTTAGCACTGCCTTCACTGTCTGTTCATGTTTAGAGTGTACGAGTGTTGAGTGATGGATTAGTAAGGATTCACCGGCACAATTAGGCCTGTTTCGGCAATAAAGGACAGTTGTTGAGTGACGAGATTTGAGTGTTGGAATGATCAATTGAGGGGTCTATGGCCAGGGACCTTTCTTCCTTACTGGAGAAGAAGTAGAGGAGCGGATCTTGCCCCATAACTAAATTACTGCGACGTGACAATGGTATTCAGTGAGGATATAGTGCTAGTTCACACGCTTCAATAGGACGGTTAGCGCTAGTTCACATGCATCAAAAGGACGGTTAGCACTAGTTCATACGCTTCAAAAGGACGGTTAGCACTAGTTATCACGCTTTAAATGAACGGCTTATTTCGATGTAATTTCTAAGATAAAGTTTCTTTAATGTCTGTTTGCGTATTGTGATGATATTTGTAATACTTGCTACTCCACATTCCTTCACACGCTATAAAGGATGCCTTTTTTCGATGTACTTTCTATAAACTTGCTTTGGTGACCTTTTGAGTGTCGCGATCTTTGAAAACCTCCATTTTTCGCATTCTTTCATATGGAAAGCACCCTTTCCATCATTCGAGTAGTTGGCCTTATTTTTTGTCTCCCAAAAGTCCATGTGTAATACTCATTACCTTGGGGGAGGGGAAGGTGTGTTGTAAAGGCGTACAAGTTTCTTGAGGGCTGATATGTTTGATGCTCGTAAAACCATCTTTTGTAGCGACAAAAACTATAACCAATTACGCCATTGATATCTATATCACTTGCTCTTTTAGAATTTGGTAATTTTAGCCTTGAAATCCATAATTGGGGAAAATCCGAATCTGCATTTCTTATTTGGATCGGACTTTTTTAGGTGGAGTGGAGGATCGAGAACAAATATTGCATTAGTATTACAACTTAAAATTATGGTGAAAAGTGTAAAATTAATATAAAGATTACTTTAGCGCAGTCAATGTTATAAATTAATTTCAAGGTGTCATTTTTTAAAAAGGAAATGATAAAGGGTACTCAATGACTTTTTTTTTTTTTTTTTTTTTTTTTACTTTTTTTGATATTTTTTTTTCTCTTCAAGATCCAACAAGAAATCAAAAAAGCATTCGAAGACTCCTCACTTGTGGACATGCCAGAGAACAAGCAGATAACAAGATAAAACAGATAATAAAGTGGCGTACAGTTATCATAGAAACCGCAAAGGGTAAAAAGAAAGTCCGTTTAATCCAAATGGATGGATATTCTGTACAGTATCCCCGAATCATTGGCTTGTGGGAGTTGAAAAGAAAGTTTAAAGGTCTATTCACTTTTTCATATGTATTTGGTTCAACTGAGAAAAAAATACTCCTTGATTGAAATTTTTTAAAGAGAAACAGTTTAATGAGAAATATGGTTCAAGAGTTGATTAGAAGCGTCAAAGGTCCCTTCACTGGATGTGAACTAAGGTTGATGAGACAGTGAGGGAGCTACTTTTTCACATCCAATTTTTCCAATTAGAAAACTTATATTTCATTTGGTAAACTCAAAGCTATTCAATAGTAAATAATAAAACCGATATAAGAAATAAATCAATATGAAACAGACGAATTTGATTAAAGAGTCGAACTAGAGGAACTTCAAAGGTCCTTTGACTGGATGTGAACTAAGGGTAACACAGTAAGGGACGGCGACTTTTTCACGTCCAAAATTTTCAATTACAAAATAATTTTATCTTATGTTGGTAAATATTCGGTGAACCGCGACTCCCGTACGAATAACAATCGCGGTTATTCGTACGGGAGTGAAAAATGTCGGGATACAGTATAAAGGAACAAATTTAACTCAAGGTTTGAAAAGGAGCTAAGGGTGAGACCGTTAGGGGGGCATTTTTCGACTTCCATTGAAAAGGTCCTTTTTCCGATATTTGAAAATCGATATGTTTGAATCAATGCAAAACGATGGATTAATATTTATAGACTAGCTTCCGTTTCTGCAGACTGGACTGTTACTCAATAAGCCTGAAGCGAGATGACGTTTTACCCCCGTCTCTAGACCATAATTCTTTTCACACTACTTTTGTTCTTTCATTATGACTATTGTTCCTGTATTCTCTAAGGAGTCAAAAATTTTAATATAAAAGAATTTTAAAAACTATTATGGTACTAAAACGGTTCCCTGTAGTACCCCAGAAAGGACAGTTGTCCAAGATGAATAATGACCACGAAGAGCAACGCTTTGAAGGCGATTGGTTAAAAAGCTTCTTACCCATGACAACAGCGGATCTCTGATTCCGTAAGCGTGGAGCTTTAATAGTAGGCGTTCATGAGGGACGGAGTCAAATGCCTTGGAAAAGTCCAAGAATATACCAGCATTTCTATTGTGAGTCCAATCTTGAAAGACTGTAAGTAATTGCGACAGGCATGGCTTGCCTTTCATGAAGCCAAACTGGTTTGGGATATTAGAGTAATGCACATTAGTAGACCCTAATTCCATTGTTTTCTTTCGTGTCTATTTGACTATTACACGTTGACTAGTATTTTTTATTTCACGGGTTGGATGCTTTCACTTTATCTTTTTTTCTCCTTAGGCCTAGGGCAAACGTCGAACTTTCCATGCACCGAACTCATTAAAAGCAATGGATATCAGGTGATAATGAGGCGGCATTCTTTGATGTAATTAAGTTCGGTGCATGGAAAGTTCGACGTTTGCCCTAGGCCTTAGATTCTTAGAACATTTAGGATTTGGGTTACCTTTAAGTGCATGTATATATATTAGTTCTATATTTATTGTATGTTTTATTTATATAAGTTTTCCGGTTAGAGTGCCACCAGTTTATTAGCTATTTTACAACTATTCCTTGCTACCCTCTTTAAATAAAGAGTTTATTATTATTATTACTTTGGAAGGAAACGGAGGAGCTCTAGGTACGAGAATGTCTTGGTCCCAGTCTTCTTGCAAGCTAATGCGCAAAGGCTTGTATTTTCCGATTTCTACTGCGCAGGGAAATGTGAAACGACTAGACTCGTACTTTTGATTTTTTCCTTTATCTCTGAGATTAGATTTTATTCGCTATAACTTATCGCTCTAATTTAAGACAGGTAAGATATATGGAATTGATTACTTTAAAGTTATTGTTTTAAGTATTTGTGGTCTTATTTCAAGATATTTGTGGTTAATATGATTGTATACCTTGCATAAAACACGTATACTTGTTAATCACTTTCAGTGCTGGCTTGTTTATCCGAATTTTAGCTATTATTAGCTGTTATTAGACCTCGATGAGGGCGAGAGGACTAATTATTGTTTTTATAGTTAAATCCAACTATAGTCGGTCCTAGAGTTCGCACTAACTGGGGAAAACAGCGATTTCTATATCAATCTTTGAAAGAATATAATGATTTAAACTAGATTATAAGAAAATAACATCAGTCGATAGTTTTAAGAAATCTCTCAAAAGTATTTATTAGCTTTTTGATATTTTGTATATATCGTAAGACTTTTTAGATCACTCTTTTATATTTTATAATTTTACATTTTTCTTATCGTGTTTAATTTATCTATTTATGTATATATTTGTTTATTCATATTTCTTTAATTGTATTATTGCAATATTACTCGTTGTATATTTAGCAATTATTCTCCGAAGGCGAAGTGAATATCGGGGAATATTTACCGAGACGCAAGTCTTCGAGTGGCAAGGTAAATATTCTCCATATTCACTGAGCCTGAGGCAAATAATTGTTTTAGCATATGCCAACTTGTGTACAGAGTAACTTATTTTTATATACAATAACTCAATAAAAACAAACAAACAAAAACTTTTAGCAAAACTTTTAGGCCATACTTCGTTGCTTTTTTAGTATTGATAGGAATGGCATACTTTCATTCTTTCAATTTCCTCATCGGAAATTGTAGCAAAACGATTGCCGACAGATGCCATTTTGTTGCCGACTCAATATTCCGAGATTCATGGTACAATATTCACCTCCAATTAACCAATGAAAGTGCACGTTCTTAGGAAGTACACAAGTTGGTATATGTTAATGTTATTTAGGGCACTACTGAAAACCACGTTTGGTGAGTAGGTTTCCCTCATTAAAAATTATCATCATATATAGATGCAGACAAGTTTTAAATTAATTAAATTTTTGTTTTTGTTTTCAAAGCTGGCACTTTTCACTACCTCATCCAATCAGATGCAAAATTTATGATAGACAGCTAGTTTAATTTGACTAATATCCATTATTTCCTTAATTCTATAAGATTTCGTACTTTTAAACATCACAATTGATAAATATTTTTTCCTTGTATAGTCATAGAAAGATGTCATAAACAAAGATGAATAACCTCCTGTATGTATAGTGGAATCCATTATGCTTGAAGCATGAAAAAGCCCAACACCTTGCCTCCACCAATAGCTAAACCAAGACCACCTCCAAAGCCTGAGATCCSTTTGAAGTCTGTAGCCAAAATATGTCCAGCCACAGGCAAACCAATAGTACCACCAAAGCCACATCGCAGAACCCCACCATCAATTCCAACAACAAACAATAATATTGCACATTCTGAAATTAAATCTAATCTTTCTGATGAGGTATCAAAGAGACCATTTACAACTTCATGTCTATTAAGTCAAACAACAAATGTTGTAAAGGATATTGAGAGTGAGAAAACAGCATCAGATCTTGATATTCTTGACGAGCAGGATTTGTATGATGATGTTAATGTTCATTCTACGAGGTACATGTATGTAGCTAGTAATGATAAAAGGGTAAATTATACACTGTGAAGAGATTAAAAAACATTGGAGTAAAAGACTCTGACGAAGGACTAGTGTCCGAAACGTCAGTTTTTTCATAATTTACCATTTTATCATTACTGTTCCATTAGAATCACTGATGCAGCTTACACTAATTTTTAGCTAGTTATCTTTTCTGTATGTAGCTAGGGTAATTGTATTTGAACTTCAGTTATGTTTACTCAATCTCTCGTATTAATGTACAAAAGTCTTTTTAGCAATGGACCTTCACATATTAGGGATCTTTTCTATTTTAGAAAGCCGAAATATAATTTAAGAGGTGATGGATACATCCTAACTCTCCCTAAATTCAATCTCCAGTGGAAGAAAAAGTCTTTTAGCTATGTAGGAGCTAGTATTTGGAATAGTCCCCTTCACGGTTCCCTGCGCCATCTTGAAAGGTAGCCGTGCCTTTGCATCCAAGTGAGACGAACCGTGAGCTTGCAATGATAGAGACCTGTAAATTGTCCAAGGTGTTAAAAAGGACTTAGGTCAGCTTTTAGGTTTATCTTTTATTTCAATTTCGTAATTTTTAAAAAAAGTTTTTAATTTTTATTTATTTATTCATTTTTATTTTATTTATTTTTTCTTCCCCACTTCTTCGAACCTCTTACTCCCCCTATTTTGCGCGACTGGGTCGAGGTTGTCCTTGGTAATCAACCAAGCCCAGCCCCGTCCCGAACCTTTACTCATGGTGCTCGTGTGCAAGGTCCGGTGGAGGGGAGTCCTTTTCTCTTCTTTAGTTACTTACTTTTTGTTTATATATCTATTTTTATTTTTTATAAAAGCATATATATATATATATATATATGTAGTAATTATTTCTTCAATAGTATGGAATCCTTATTTAGATATTAGCTCCTTAATTTATATACTTAAAAAACTCATTAATAATTCATGAAGGAAACACAATAGAAATCATGACCATGAAGGAGGTTTTATATCTGATATAGATTCATCTTCATTTGCATAAACTTTAACTTGGATTTTCTCTATCAAACTTGGTTCATTTTGTAAAGAATTCGGTACAGTATGAGAACATACATCAGGAGTTTTTTAAGCCGTTTAATAAACTCGCAGATCGTGTTTTATCGGGTCTAAAACCACTCGGCTATGCCTCGTGTTTTATACCCGATAAAACACTCCTGCTCATTTATTAAACAGTACTTCATATATAGTGTAATATAGTTTTTAATGTATGTTTAACCTTTTGTACACGTTTGTATTTTGAACACGCTTTATAAGCTCTTGGACGATATGTGATTAAATAAATTATTGATTGGTTGAATTGTTTATTGATTGATACTCATTATTCTTTCCTTGCAGTGATTCATGTAATAAACATCAGCTTCCTATTAGTAAAAAGCCACCTTCAAGCTCTTCCTTGATTGTTAGACCAACACCCTCACCGAGGTCATCACCCCATGCCTCGCCTACCATATCACCGATATCTGGGGATGATAATCGTGATACAGTTCAACCAACTCCAAGACCAAGAGCAAAAGCAAGAGAAATAAAAGGTGAAACAACTCCCATCATTAAATATTCAAAACAGGATTATTGTCAGTATAATTCCTATTCCACTTGTAGTTCACATGCACCTCCGCTTCACATGCAGTATTGCAATTAAGCATTCAGTGCACATAAAGGTATTATTTAAGGTAGTTCCCCCGCTCTAACAAAACGAAACAACAACAAAAAAACAATGCTCATAAGAAGATTTTAAAAATGTATTTAAATTGCATAAATGTAAACTAATAAAGCTATAAATGTAATCCTATAGATAAACTTTATTTTTCTTCATAAACATAAATGTTTCCTTTTTTTAAATTTATTTTTACTTAGTCTGCTATAAATAAATACACTTGCTGAAAAGGAGAAAAGGGGTCATTGTTGCCTTAATTTCCTTACACAGGCACAATGTTCATTTGCAGAAACAGTATAAAATATTGTTAATTTTTTTATGATAATCAATTAAATTATACATACGTTTGTAATCAAGCACAAACAATTTTGCCCTTATTGACACACTTTGAAGGTTCGATGTATTCTAACCAGTTGGTAGATATATTTTATGATAGATGAAGAAAATAGTGCTAAAGTGCTACAGAAAAAGCCAGAAATTTCACCAAAACCTGTACATCTCCAAAAAATCTACAATAGCAGTAATTTCACACAAGTAGGAAAGAAAAATACAGGTAAGAATGAGCATATAGGTGTCATTTTGTACACAGCAATTAAATGATTCAAGTAGTGTAGAAGAGGTAACACTTTATCAATTTTTAAATTCAATTTTCAGGTGGAAAATATCAAGAACAAAGTGTTGTTGTGCAGCACATACCGGCATGTTGGAAGCAGGGCAATCAATCCAAATCTACATTACCAACATTACCTCCAAAAACAAATTCATTAAACATATCAGAAGAGTGTAACAATAGTATTTACAAATTGCCTTCTGGTATAGGTATTCACTTTATTACATTTTCAACTGTTTATTTTCCACTTGTAATCCTAGCTTAATAATTATTAGATTGCAACAATAATAAATTAGTTATAAAGTAAGCCAAGTATTACTAGCACTAAAGTATTGTATTGGGACACTGTTATTAGACCATGTAGAACTCTGTGGGTAGTCCTGCCGCCATGTGTCCTACACAGTATGTCATTTTTCCTTTCTTTCCTCTTAATTGTTTAATTTTGTTAAATTTTGGTTGGAGTTTAGTGGTGAATCTTGTAAATAAATAAAATGAATAAATAAATATTTAAAGGATAAAAAGTAAAGAAATTAAATATTGTAAATGATCCACCAAACTATAATATAATACCAGAACTACATTATTGTAATATGTAGCTAATATATTGCACTAATATCAGTGAGCATTTCATAGCCTGTTTATGACAACCAGGATTTATTGATAAGCCTATAATGCTTGTTATTTATTCTTCAGGTGTCTCAAATAACACAAACGAAGCAATAAAGAAACGTATTGCATCACGAAGACAACTCAACCCTCAAAATGCTAACAGGACATTTCCTGTAGATGTCAAAAACAGAAGACCTCCACCCCCTCCCCCCTCAATTAGTGATGGTAGTCCCAAGAAAAAAGAACCTCTGAAAGGAACAACATTCTCCAGAGATCTTGACAGAAGGAATGGGAAAGGCCCAACAGTCTCCACAGATCTTGACAGAAGGAATGGGAAAGGTCCAACAGTCTCCAGAGATCTTGACAGAAGGAATGGGAAAGGCCCAATAGTCTCCACAGATCTTGACAGAGAAGATGAAAAAGGCACAACAGTCTCCACAGATCTTGACAGAGAAGATGAAAAAGGCACAACAGTCTCCACAGATCTTGACAGAGNTCTTGACAGAGAAGATGAAAAAGGCACAACAGTCTCCACAGATCTTGACAGAGAAGATGAAAAAGGCACAACAGTCTCCACAGATCTTGACAGAGGGCATGGAAAAGGTTTAGAAACTACCCTAAAAACTGCAGAAGGTGATCATGCACACATTGTGCTAAAATGAAATTGGACGAACTTGATGCTATTATCAAGTGTTGTATATAATGTTTTAATTGATATGATTTTTATTGACCATTGATAGATCAATCTCTATACTGCTATGCATACGAGCATACTGTTCCCACAGTCAGCATGCATAAATGCCCTCAAGGCAACCAATCAGAAGACAATTCATATATTGAACCTGATGCAAGTGCTGTGAAAAGTTTTATGGAGCAAATAAAAGAGAAAGAGTGTGTAAGTAGTGGTCAATATGAGATACCTGCAGAAGGTGGACAAGAAGATACCATAGACCAAGGTATTGTATTATTCATAGTCATGATATTAATATATTTTATGTAATGTTTAATAAA